GTCGAGTGCCCATTTTGCGAGGTGGAACGAGACGCTTAAACGGGCTTCTCTTGAATGGACTAATATTGTTTCCAATCATTGTGAATCACTTACGAAAGTTCTTGCTAATAAGGAAAAACAGCTGCGTGCCACCCATGTTATTAGCACTGACGAAAACAGTGAGCTTCATTCGGATGAGCAGAAAAAGTTTAATGAAGGTAACTTCATCAAGCAGAAGAAAACGGCTTGAGATAACATTACAGTTACACTTCACTCCGAATTGCATAGAAACCTTGAACGCTCTGAAATTCAAAAACCAGGCACACAACAAACCAATAAAGTGAATTTCTCACGTTACCAGTTAATTTCCGAAGAATCCAGGGTTTGGTCAGTAGGGCTGAACTTTTGTCCCACAACTGAGGCTACAATGAATTTTAGATCGTTGTCGATTTTTCCCAACTTCGAAATAAACATGCGATTGCGCAAGTACTTCTTTGATCGCATATCGACTGAACAAATCAGTTCCACGTTACCTACTGATAAGCATTGGACTCCGCCTTCACATAAATGCCTCACCTTATACGTACGAGCCGTACAGCCAGACATACTTAAAGCGTACAAAAATCGTTCAACTTTCCGTCATTACCTCAGCTTTAACGAGACCCAGGCTATTGAGGCATTGGCAAGCCGCAGCGACATTGTAATCAAGCCGGCAAATAAAGATGGTGCAGTTGTCGTAATGGATGCTAAACGTTGCTTTGACGAAGCCCAGAGGCAACTTGATAATACGAAATACTACAGACGCCTTAGCAATGACCTAACAGAACAATTCAGATGTACTGTCAGTGATGTTGTTGCAGAACTTTTGAAAGAAAACACAATCGCTCAATCTGCGTTGCGTATGCTTATTCCCCTGTGCCCGGTGGCGGGTAGGTTTTACACCCTGCCTAAGATTCATAACAAAAACAATCCCGGTTGACCAATCGTGTCTGGAATAGTCACGGTTACTGAGAACATCTCACGCTATGTTTATAGCATTATCTGTTTCATTCCTGTCCCATTTACTTCATATATCAAAGACATGAATGACTTTCTAGACGATATCAAAGATTTACATATTCCTGTTGGCTCGTTTTTGGTAATTCTGGATGTTTGCTTCTTGTACACTAATATTCCGCACTCTGATGGTATCAGGACTGTTGCGCGCGCGTACAACGAGTCTGATCTTGATAAAGCAATCGATTCAACCACACTGGCCCCGCTTCTTAATTTAAGTCTCGAATTAGGCAATTTTGAGTTCTATGGTCAACATTACGTCCAGGTTAGTGGCACATCTATGGGCACTAGGCTAGGATTGGTCCCAATTACGCAAATATCTTTATGTGCCTCCTAAAAAACGAGTTCGTTTCACGCCGTGACTTGAAGCCTTTCTACTACAAACGTTTCATTGATGAAAACGTTTTATTATGGCGCCATGGCGAATCCAATCTTCTTTCTTTTATCGAGGATTTCAATAATGTCCATCCAAATATCCCGTTTTCGCATTCATACTAAGCCATCAGCGTCAATTTCCTTGATGTCACTGTAACATTGCACCATCAAAAACTGACGACGAAGCTGTACAGGAAACCGACTGACAAACATCAATACCTTAATTTTCAAAGTAGCCACACTAAACACTGCAAAACCAGCATTCCATACAGTCAGGCCATTCGTTTCAAACGTATCTGCTCCGGCACGATTGAGTTTCTTCGCAACTGTGAGTACCTTCGAGGTGCACTAACCAGCCAAAGATACTCCTCACGAATCATTGACGACGCCCTCAAGAAGGCGGAATACATCGACCGCGAGGATTTGCTCACGGGTAACAAACCATCAACAAGCTCGTAACGTAACAGTGTAAATCTGATTTTCACGCACTCAGCGTCAGCTCCGAATGTAAACAACATTCTGAAGAAACACCACAACATCTTCATTCAAAGTGGCCGCCTAAAAGACATCTTTGCGGAATCACCCAAAGTGGTTTATCGCCGATCGCGAAACCTGCGTGATACCTTAACTTCGTCCAAAACAAACGACCGACCGAACTATGTTGGCTGTCACCCTTGCAATAAACCCTGTTGTAAGGTATGCCCACACATGACAACTTCGCACTCCGTAACTAGCAGCGCTTCAAGCTTTACCATGAGAATCAACGGAGACTTCACTTGCGACAGCGCCAATGTTGTCTAAATGCTTGAGTGCTCCACATTTCATCAGAAATACATCGGTCACACCGAAACGTCATTCATATTATGCTTTAACAACCATAGAGCCCACTCTTCTAACCTACCTCATCTTCCACTATCAAAACATGTCCAGATACCAGGTCACCCCTTCGCAAACATAAAGGCTACCATACTACAGTCTCGATTTAATACTCATTATGACCGAGAAGTTCGCGAATCGTACCTCATAAATATATTCAACAGTCTTCACGCTGGCATAAATGAAAGCATCGGACGTGTCACCTTTATTTGCGGGTGACAAAATTTATCATATTCATACACTATTCTCCCCCTTCCTGTCACACACGCTCTTTGTTTTTCTAATGCGCCCCACGTTTTTTTTACCTCCGCTTATTGCATTTAAGTCCAGCGCTCCATGTTTTGTATAGCGACCATGGTGACTTGTAAAAAAAATTGGTGATCTTTCATTACTTTTATGTGTACCGTGCTGAAGCAGATGTGATTGATATCTGTTTTGCCACGCAAGTAGCCTTAATCTCTCGTGTCTCCTTCGCAGTCTCATCATCGTTTTACTGGTTTATATGTTTCGCTGATGTGATGGCTTCCTAGTCATACGTTTCTTAAGTTGTAGCAGTTATCTTGTTACACGAAGTTATAGATCAAACTTAATTGTCACCGATGTTTGATTTTGAACTCCTGACGTTTTTTTGAGATATCAGTGGTCCTTAAAAGCGGCATATGCCTTATTCACTTTTCATTTTCTGACAAAGGCCGTGCGACAGCCGAAACGTAAATCTATAAAGAAACTGCTTGCTTCCTCGTACGTGTACCAGCTTCTTTTCTTATACGTACGAGACCCACTGAACTTTCCCACTGAATATATATATGTATATATATATATATATATATATATATATATATAAGATTTGGCACAACGGGAGCGTTGTCAACAAGGATTAATATATTTATTTCCCGACAGTTTCGGGAGGGGTCCTGCCTTTATCAGGACCCCCTTATATATATATATATATATATATATATATATATATATATATATATATATATATATATATATATATATATATATATATATATCATTCTTAGAACTTCCTTCCGAATAACATATCACATATTTACCTACACATATGCACATGTCGACAGCAGTTCCGTCCTCCTGTTACGTTTGGCGCTTACCCACATACCGCGCCCCAAGGAATACTGGCATGAGCCTCATTCAATTTAAAGGGTCAATCGACTCAGGTACTGTGAAAAAGCTAGATGTCTTGCAAAAACTAGATGTTGAAGCAGTAGCGAAAGCAATAGTACAAAGAAAACTCGTCTGGCCGGGAAGACTTGCGGTCAAAGGTTGAGCTAAGTTGAGTTCGAGTTTATTTACCACGTACAGTTTTATAGAACCCACATGCCACACATCACCAAGTTTACTGTGACAGCAAAACGGCAAAAGCCAAGTAAACCACAAAACAGTTCAAACTAGCAATGCACACGCTCTGCATTGTAACAACGAAGTTGAAAACCTACCTATACAAACCAGAAACACACATGCTGTACACCGGAAGAAAGAAGTATACTAACAGAAAATAATACTACACACAAAAACTAAGAAAGCATAACTAAAATTGAAGTATTAGCGGTTGCATGAACTTTTCACAAATATTTCCTAATTTATTTATTGTATTTAGCAAGCAATAACGCGATGTCTGAAAATCATAATTTGTGCGTGGTCTCGGCACAAGTCACTGCTCAGAGTGTCTGTTTGGCTGCATCGAAAGATTTATTTGTAAGTTAGGGTGTCTGTTTAGGTGCGTCGAAGGATTTAATTGTAAGTTAGCTAAAGTACATATATATCAACGACCTTTTGTGGGATGAGATCTAAAGAGATTACTAGGTAGTATTCGTAGAGCAGGTTTAATTTGATTGTGTTATATTTAAGGAATGTGTGTGAAGTATAGACATTATATTGGAGGTTCGCATTAGAATGTAGCGCTGTTTTCTGTAAAGTAATAAAATTACTAATACGGTGCTTTGTTTAATTACCCCAAATGACGTTGCAATACCTCAGATGTGATGTAAAGAGCGCAATAAATATCAGAAATATTTCCGAAGCTCGCAATAGACCCTAATATTTTCTCAAGAGCTCTTCGCAAAGACACTGCTTACATAGACCCTGATGGGGGCGTCGTTCACAATGATGAACTAGAAGAAGAAAAAGGTGTGGGTGATTTAGAACCCTAATCCGATCAATCCAAAGAGCCCACGTAATAGAAAATAAGTTCTGTGTGAGCGCCATTGTTAGTCAACGCAACATGAAAAAATAATTGCAAAATTCAAACAATACCTGTGGCAACTAATCCTTCAATAAGTGCCCATGGCCTTTATCAAGATGTGGCAAAAGTGATACAGGTACTGGAACCTAATGCCAAGAAAAAGAAAAATCCTTAATCCTTAAAGGCTCAGAAAACTGCAATCCTTATTCTGTACTTTTTCGAACTGCCGTCCAGTGTTCGTGATACCCGTAGAAACAAAAAATGTGGAACTCATGGGACTTCGCTATTATTTCTATGTTTTAATAATTCAGATAGTGTTCTGTGAAAATTGTGTGTAGTTGTCATACGCTGACATCTTGTGAATCCTTGTCTACATAGTGGTATTACCCTTCATTTTAATAATTGTCTCGACTGTCACTATATATTTACCAATATAATGACAAGAAATATAATGGTACTGAAGAAGTGTGTAATATTTTACCATCCTCTTTTTCTAACACCTATCCAGGCAGAACTGAAGAATTCAAACATCTCTATGGCGGCGTTGTGTTTTTGGACCGATTGCCAAGGAACACAAACGGCAAAGTCATCAAGCGTCAACTGTGGCATATGTACAATAAGTCGAATATATACTAATCACACAGTTCTTATCAAAAGCCCTACAGGAGAAAAATAAAACTAAGCAGATCCCACGTACCTTGAAAGCCATATGTTGTGCGAATAAAACAGATGGAAGACTGGGTTGTAATTGCTTTATTGAGAGAAGCATTACAAAATTGCGTAAAGGTATGTAGAAATGCACGCAAAACATACGTAAACAGCCGTGTAAGCTTTATATAAGCAGTTGTTTACTGTTGCGTAAGGATGCCAACAGCGATATAGATATTAGCAGTACCAGAAACAGTAAGCTGATATGAAGCTTAGGTGCTCGCGACGATGATAGCCCTGGACACTGCTACATAAACAAACTTCTTTAGGAGAGCACCTGGCTACAATTACTCAACCTAACCAGCCGAAGTATTGCTTTTTCAAACAAGTCGAAAGCTGCGCGAGAAGCACCACGTAAAAACACTGACACACGCGTACACGCACTGAGCGCAGAAATATGGCGCATTGTATGAGTATTTAATTTACACATTCAACGCACACGCCTGAATTGAGTGAGAACAACACGTAATAACATATACACGTACGCTTTGCTACACTTGGCATTAGCGTAGTCATCTGTGGTGCAGTACAGCAAAGGTTGCAACACGAGAAAAAAATTTACATCCATTTCTCACTCATTGGAACCATGGGTTATGCGAAGCCGATCAGGGGGTGCACAACAAGTTTCCGTTTACGTTCAATCAGCGTTTCCATTAATGTGTGAAGGTTTGCGTTCAGTGTTTGTGTTATCATTTCGTTTCGCTTGTGCGTATTCGAGGAACTATCACTTGAATGGTGCGGTTGCTCTGTCGGCTGCCGGTCGCTGCTTCTGTCTCGAAAGCCCTGCTATCCTCGCCGCAGACTCACTTTGACTTTCTGTAGCGGAACCGGTAGCTCGACGTCATCGCTTGGCTTCAACGTTGGTGTTCTGGGCGTCGGAGTTTTGAACTACATGCTTGACTGACGTTTCCCTAGCCCGGAGTTCTAGCTAACCTTGCCTTCTCAGGCGTTTGCCTTCAGCTTCGCGAGCCCTCCACTGCTGTTGTTTCGGAAAATCTCGTTCTCAGCAGAGGTTGGAGTTCTATTGCAACTGGCGCTGACGTTGACGTTACAACTCATCGGAACGAGAACAAAGCGAGAATGACAGAAGCCGACTGAGCGCACGCGATGAAAAGGGAAGAGAGAAGGGGGGTTGGGTCTACAGGCTACAGCACGGGTTGAGGCGAGGAGAGGTTACCGAACGCCTGCAGTAAAAGAGGAGAGTAGGAGAGAGTAGGTGCGTGCGCAGTGGAGCGTGGACGCCAACGGATGAACCTCGCTTATAAGATGCCTCGAATAAAAATATTGCCAATGTGAGAAATGAGTGAGAGTATAGCAGAGCACTGCATTGATCAGTGGAGTTGAAAGGTGAGCTAGAGGTTGAAGACATGCAGGTCGCCAAACTGAGAGGCTGTTTTGCTTTAAAGGGGCCCTGCAACACTGTTTGAGCATGGCCAGAAAACACTGCCGATTGGTATTAGAGGCTCCCGACAACACACGATCAAAATATCACACAGTGCAGCATGCGGCCTGGAATTCAAGATAAATTATCAAATCAGCTAAAAAAAAGCTTTCTTTTTTTCGCGACAGATCCGGAAATAAGCCCAAAAACAACACGCAGCAAACCCCTCAATGAGCCAATGACTTATTTAAACACGGCGAGCTCACTAGTTACAGAAATCGCCGTGGAAGGCCGCTACTTGTGCACGCAAGCGCACGCGATCACACTGAAAAGCCGCACAATCGAAAAAAGAAAGAAAGAAGTGCTCCAAGATACGAGCACGCCTGACGTTTTTCTGTGGCCCTGCCATCACTCCCTGCTTAGGTTCCAGCGTTTAGGTCGGCACGAGTGAAGAGAGAGTGCAATGACAGCATGAAAAAACCTTTGTGACTTCATTCGCACTGGACAGATTCTTAAAATTTTTGCGGCGTTGAATTTGTGAGTCAATAAGCTCTTCCAGTGAATTCATTGCATGGTTACTTCAAGAAGTGTTTCAGGGCCTCTTCAATGCTAAATCATGCCCTTGTTGAACAAGCGTTAGATCGATTTTCATGTCACCATTTTGGCTACCCTTTGGCTTTGCTGTTCGATGTACGTTAAAACGTTAGGTCATTTGAAGGACAGCATAATCTGTACGCTTATCCGGGATCGGACATATAAGAGTTACTAGCACGTCATCGGCATTGTTCGCGAACCCTTCAGTTGTATCTGTGAAACTCAGGGTACTGGTACGCTTTCAGTACTTCCCAGTGTAATTAAGCAGGTACTTGCTAGCTTGCAGCAAACAGGTCCGGAACAGCTTAAGTTTCTCGCTATCCGGAGCTTGCTTAATCACCAGATTTTTGGTCTTAGTGTAGAGAATTAGAAAAAAGTTTACAGGTATAAACATTCCCGTATATTTTTCGCACTCCTTGACTGTTTATTTTCTTCACATGTAGCTACACTGAATTCAGATGCATTTCCTTGTCTTACCATCGCCTGCTTTGGTGAACAAGTTAGTGTGCTTGGCTCCTCAGACGCTAGTTCACGGAGATTTACCGTAGATGTATAGTGCACGAGGCACGCGTAAGCTGAAGAATTATATTTACTCATAATTTTAGGAGTCTTCTCCTTCGGCGTTCTACATGATTATACCGCTGTTTAGGCGCGTGAAATTCTAAATTATGCGTAAAGTAACTAGGTGTAAAATAGCTGGTACACTTGTTATAAAGTTTAAACGACTGCGTGCCGTCTGGGGTAGTTTGGTATAGCTGTAGGTATTCAAATGTAGGTTAACAGTGCCTAAAAAGCCAATTCGTGGCTAAGCAGCATACATTGACTACCGCTGATCCTGTATTCGGAAGATTTTTTGTAATCGGAACGACTGCTGCACAATGACTGAGCGTGCAATTCAGACCCAGTGCAAGGCCGAGAAGACAAGTCAAAGTCATTTCTTATTGTTACACAAACAAATGTTGTTGCAGAAAATATACAGACGTGGGTCACATACTCGATGACTGCAGTAAGACATCCAGGTTAGTATTACTCAGAAGAAGTCTAAAAAGGAAAACAAAAATGTGAGCAGGCTGAACAGCAACAAAAAGATGAAAAGGTAGACTACAAACCTGAAGACACCGAATGAAACAAGGTGGCAAAGTACAATAACTGAAGAAAAAACCGAACAACACTAATGGTAACACAAGCGATATATTGTGACGATTGGGAAGAACAACTTATAGAAGTATGATATACTAGAATTGCATATTTTACATTTCCAATTACAAAATTTATTGGCATATCTGAATTGATGAAAAGATGATGATGTTCTGCAAGTCAGGGTAAATCATTCTACGGTTTTATGGCAGTGAATGTTCCCGTTCATTTTGTCTCAGTTATTATGTACGGTGAGCAAAAGAAATTTAGAGTTATGTGAAAACCTGGCATCATTTTCATTAGTTAGGCCATTGGAATCACTGAATCTTATGAGGACTGTTTATTAGGCAGCTTATAAATTATAATTATGAGGCGATAGCGAAACAAGCAAGGTATGTGTACTTTGTTGTGTTCATGAAGTGATGAAGACACATCTTTAAACACGTTTTTACTAGTGATGATGGGAATGGCTAGGTTATGTAAGTCTGAATAAATGATAAATGTTGATGATACGTATCAGCCCAGAAGACAGTGCCGTAGAAGATTTCACTGTAAACGAAGGTAAAGTATAATAATAATAACGCTGCTGTAGAAACACTTGAATTTGATTCATTCAAAGCTCTTATACCGAATGCATATTATTGTTGAATGAAATAAATGTAATGAGAAAACTCAAGGTTATGATCTAGTTCGATGCCAAAGAAAGACGCACAGTTGAGAGTGGAGGATGGTATGACCATTTGTTATAAAAATAAGGTCTATTTCGTCGTATGCTTTGAAGAGCGCTAAATATTATAATATAGTTTTGTTAGCATTGATGAATAATTGATTTGAAACACGCCACACAATGGTTCGTTCAAGTTATCTTTTAAGTATTCATTATATGACGAAATGGTAGTATATGCATACAGCACACACTTTGTAGTACCAGGTCGTGATGGTAAATTGTTAATATAGATTGAAAAAGTTGAGCGACATTGTATAAATTCCTGTAGTACACCTTGAATAATAAATTCGGTAATACCGTAAACACTACCTGTAATTACTATTTGCTATATGTTAAGAAAGTAACTTCGTATGTGCTTTATTACGTGACCAGTAATGCAAATTTACTCCTGTTTTGGAAAAGCAAGTGAAGTGAGGGACGAATGTAGTCTGTTAGCAATAATAAAGGTAAGCTAGTCGATTTTCCCGTACGAAAGATCAAATTGACAAGATTTCGAAATTGATCTTTTCATATGAGCAATTATTCGTTATTAAAAAACTTTTTCCTCAATTTTATTAGTTCAATACGGATTATAAGACCAAAACTGAGACACTTCAGGTTTGTCACTACCCTATATACCTGCATGATATTTGCCTTTATTAGTGGATTGGGAAAAACGCCGCTTTTGAAAACGCGAATGATTACGATGCCAAGTGCCTCTGAAATTCAGAAAGGTGCCACAATTTTCATCTTGAAAACAGGAATTTTGTCTGAACCAGCATTGGCGTTTTTTATAAGTAATAAAACAGAGTACATTTATTCGGAAGTTACAGAAACAGGAACAAAGAGGGATTACAGAGTGTGAACAGATATGCATAAGCTGTTTAGCGACTGTTGTATATGTCATACGAATAGTCACTGAAAGAGTTGGCTATCGTAGAAGCATCGCTTATAGCTCACCTTTGCAATTTACAATATTATATATATTGTTACGGTGAGATGCCTTTATATACAAGAGATGATGAATGCGAGAGTTCAGGGATCTGGCAGATCACCCCTCGCGCCCACCTCGTTCTCCTCTTCATCCACCCGTCCCCTCAGTATCGTAGCAATTCCTCCTTCGCAGACGATGTCCACCGGGTGAGTTAGGCTTCGTTGCGATGATGGTAGCGTTTTAAACGGGCGACAAGAACGACGTTAGTCTTGCTTGA